TAGGAGGTCAGTCGCGGCTCAGTGGTAACGTCTCTGACTGTGAAGCTGGGTGACATGGGGTCGAGTCCGCCAAGGAGCATCAGTTCCCTCAAGACTGCAAGCACACCTTGCTGACGAGTGCCAAGTGTAACGAAACCCGGGTCCAGGGTTTCCTGTCGACTACCTCCAACCACCATCTGGAATAATGGATTTTCTAAAAAAATATATTTTTTGTACATTCGTTGATTGGAACAGAAAATCAAAGAGACGTAGAGAAGGAAGCGAAGAAGAGAGAGAGAAACAGCACGTAGTGGAGAAGGCATGTGAGACAACTTCATTTAATCAAGAGTGAATCAACATTTATAATCACACAAAAAATATGTGGTATGTAAGATAAGATGCACACATGTATACGTTCATATAAAAACAGTCAAGATTGATAAGCGTATAATTAACAAGATCAAAACATGACTCAACAAGAACGGGTAAAATAGCCCGTTCAGAAGCTAGAATAATGTATATGGGTTTAACATATCAACCGACACTAAAAATATAAATCAATGTTCCGAATGTTCGAGGTTTATGTTACATAGAAAAAACGTGGACAAAATTCAACAATCCTATAATATGGGATTGGTATAAACTAGGGATCATGAATCTTTATTGACTGAGATGGTTGGGCCACGTGCAACGTATGCTCGAACGCCAATTACCACAACGTGCAATGCTAACCGGTGTTGGAGTTGGTTGGGATGAAGTTAGGGGCGGCCAAACCAAAACATGACATCAGTGCTTGAAGTCACTAACTTCTAGTCTGAGCCATGTTGGTAGATGCAGACTGCATGGTTGGGGTCTTCGTGACTATCGTAACCAATGGTTGAAGACTCTTGGTGACATCACTCAGAATCGCTCACAACGGCGTCAGTGTATACACTCTCTGTCTTCCCTTAAACTAAGAGATTAAAATTACTTTATATCTTTTTTTCTACGAACTAATTCTTTCTTCCTGTACTATATCCTTATTGCAATCTTTCTTTTATATATTACCACCTCTGAATTAGCTACTTTTATGAATCCGGTGTCCATCTTGTAGTGTTAATGAGGTATGGCAACTTGGACCGATGCATATAGGTGCCTGGTCCTACGTTGTAGCTGACTGACTGAAGGAACATGAAATAAATATTATATTGTGATTTCCAACATTATTGCTGTATAAATTGATCATCTTTGGTGGGACTAAGAATCTGTTACTTCTAAATTTAAGCGTAAAAGTTGAAACCTCTAGATCATCATAAATAAACTAGTATAAACTAGTATATTTGTAATTCTCTTAATGAGTAGAAAAATTAGATATTCTACGGTTTCGTGACTCAATGCAAGCCGCTTCTTCAGACGATAAACAATCGAATCCAGATAAATCCAAGTTTAAATAGTACAAAGGAATAAAGCAAGAATATTATGTAAGATCAAAAACAGGTCAATGCTGCGTCACTCTGGTCAATGTGAAAATATAAGCGACATGTATATGAATTTGTGTGTGCATGTGTGCACGGCCAGATATGAAAAAGATATGAGATAGCGGAGAAGATTTGTAGTCCACGTAGAAGTTGGTGCTGATGATGTCGTTCAGAAGAACGACGAAAGCTCCACAACCAAACTGTCCAGCTCAAAGAACAAAACTCCATCAAAATGAAAAAAATATGAGAAAGGATGAACTTTAATTTGCATGTACGAAAGCAGTGTAAAATGTGAATAATATCAGACATCGAAGCTTGAATATATAGTCCAAGTCGGATGGATAGTTGGGCCTTCTTTTCTGTTGTTGAGAGTAGTAAGGTTAGGCCTTATTTGAAAAGCTCCAGCTACTTACCTTTCTTTTTGTAATATTTTGATGTTTTGATATCGATTTGATGATTGTTGAAAATAGCGTGAACAGTTATTGCCGATTTAATTTTAAATCTATCCAATTCTAAGGGATTACGAGGTGGTTTCTTTTTATACCTAATATGTTCTTTGGCTAGAGTTAAGATTTCGCGAAATGACTCTCTAATATAGAACGTATCACAATCGACACAGCCTAATTTGTAGACACAGTTCTGTGTTAACATAAAAGTAATTTTTCTTTTGTAGCAGACTAAATTACTTTGAAGATAGTTTTTTGTTTTGTAATACACTTTAATTCTGTATTAGTTTAAAATTCTTTGTAGTTCTTCTGTTGTACCATGGCGTTATGGTAAAATTGCAGTACCAATCCATGGTTTTGATGGAGTTTTGTTCTTTGAGTTGTATGCTTTGGTCGTGGAGCTTTCATCGTTCTTCTGAAAGACATCTCCACCATACCAATCCATGGTATTTCATTCGAGTTACTATTAAGCAATGAAAAGTTTTGTTTTAATAAACTCCTGGTAATCTTCATAAGAAAATTATCAAATTGTAAGACGTTAATTACACGCTTTCGTACATTTTGTTTGTCCTCCTCAGATGTGATAATCCTGTTAGCTTTTCTAGAAAAGATTTAGGGCTAGAGAGATCTTTATTTATAACATTCTACCCAATGCTCACTTTATTCGAAGTTATCCAATCAAACATTGATAATGATATCTACTTTAGATCATTAGCTCAATATCCAGTTATCCAGATTGTTATCTTGGGTTACCTGAGGCGATTAATTAGTGTCTCTCTTGATGACTATCTCTTTTCTCAATGACTATACTATGCTGATTTAGTAAAATTAATGGGGACAATAAAAACATTTTTAGGGAGAAAAACGTTTTTTCAGTGGTATAATTTATCAAAACTATAAGAATAGCAATTACAGTATCTATTTATTATTATCTTAATTCAACGTTGTATTTTTGGGAATAATGTAGAATTCTTACCACAAAGTATTTCAACGAGTTCCCGTTTCTTATTTTTTGATTGATCCTTATGATAAATATTGAGTGATCGCTAGTTAGATGTTAGCAGTTCAGAAGTCGACATTTGAATAATATTCATTTTTTTCAATGCATATTGTCATCCATCATGATGTCTCCGATTGCGAATCTTTATAACTTTTACAATGAAAGGTCGTAACCTTTTCACAAATGCATCTGAATAGGTTATACAATTAATCCACATAATGATCTATAAAAATAAACAATAAAACAGGAAACTTGTTGAAATATTGGTGAAACGATGATTTATGGACAACCTTTGAGAGACGCTAGACTGACCTTGAGAGTGTTCACCTAATAACTAGGACCGAATGAGGGTTATAAACCTGTGTGAGGAATTAGAATTATGATTTACAGTTGATGATTAAGGTTAGGAATTACATTTAGAGTTTTCATCACGAAATGATATCAGCTATAATGCCAAAACTCTATTTATCCAAATGGATGAGTGAACTTCACTCCGAAATCCATGACCTGTTATCTTATATCTGGATTGATTTGTTCATAAATTATAGTCTCGCCGAAATATCTAGATACCGTTCACAGGTAGCAACTCGGGCTGAAGCCCCCCTGGGGGCTATTGCCTGTCCCAAGTCCGGATAAAGGTAGAGGGTTGAGCATGAAGTTAGCGACCTCATCCCGTAGAAAACTAACTCGATAAACAAACGCTAACCAGAAAAGTTATTCACAGGTCCGTCCAGGTATCAGTAGATAGAATAGTAAAAAAACACAGTGGATTAGTTGGTTAAGCGCCTGGCGCGAGACTGATAGGTCCTGAGTTAGAATCTCGCGGGGTGCAAGATCGTGGATGCGCACTGCTGAGCAGTCACATACTAGGAAGAAACGGCCGTCCTGTGCCTTCAGGTTCTTATGATGGTCTCAGTCAGTCAGTCACAACGTAGAACTTTGTACGTACGTACATCAGTTCGAGTTTCCACACCACCTTAACACAGAGATGCAGTTGTCGATCCAAATCCCGTAGTGTAAAAGGTAGCAAGAGTGTAAGCAGTGATCGGGAAGATTAGGGTTTGGAGATGTTATTTACAGAGTATAATTCAGTGAAATAAATTTGGAAAGAGGAAAAAAGGGACATGAGGAATTCAGAAGATTAGAATTTGGGAGAACACAAAGAGTGGATGCACCTGCACCATTGCAAACGATTTTGAGCCATGTCATTCAGGGTCTCTAACCATCGGTTGCTATCATCTCGCGGTCCCCAACCAGGTAGTCTACACCTACCGACATGACTCAGACCACTTGTCAGTGACTTCATGGATTTGTGCCATGTTTTGGTCTGTTCGCCCCTAGCTTTCTTCCAATCTACTCCTATACCACTGAACATCGCACGTCGAGGTAGTCGGTCGTTGGGCATACGTAACACGTGTCCAAGCCATCTAAACTGATGAAGATTCACTACGTCATCAATTGATTTGCCATCCTTACCTAGTACCCGTTTCCTAACAACTGTGTTACTTACTCGATGGTCCCATGATATACGAGCAATGTTTCGAAGACACCTATGATCAAATACTAGTAACCTAGGAATATCCTCTACTCTTACCGGTCATGTTTCACTGCCATAAAGTAGGACGGGACGAACTGCTGCACAGTAAACACGTCCTTTGGTTGACAGACGGATATCTCGCCTACGCCATAAATGATGCAAGTTGGCAAAAGCTAGTCGAGCCTTCTGTATCCGTGCTGAGATTTCGTCACACACCAGACTACAAGGGCTGATGAGACTTCCAAGATAAGTGAAGCGGTCGACACACTCAACTACTTCATTCCCTATTACTAGTTAGGGTGTCGATGTAAACCAATCCTGAAGCAACATTTTGCATTTCGAGGAAGAGAATCGCTTCAATTGACTCTTGATTTGAATCAGTGAAATTTTTAAAATCTTCACAAACACCCTTTAAAGAATAAGATTATTTCATGATATATTCTATTTTAATAAGTAATTAAAATAACCATAATAAATGATTCATGACACATTGAATACACCAATATAATAACTTTTTTTCTTTAACCAATTATGTGAATTATGTGAATAACATTTAAAACTTTTTATCAATAACAATCTATGATGATTAAGATACATTTAAATATCAAAAAACAAATTTGTTTTATGTTTTTCTTCGTTGTTATATTTTTTTTCTTTTTCATAAAACAGCATAGTAACAATCAATGAATGAGAACTAACTAAAAGGATACAAATTTACTTGTTTTTTTTCTTTTATTTCTGGGATATTTAATTGAATAAAACTTTTCTCTTTTTATTTATTTCTTCTTTACACAATATTTAATACATTTAATAATAAGCATAATCATTATAAGATACTGAATAAATAATCAATATAGTTACTTAGTGAAATATACATTACAAAAAAAATATTTATTACATAATTAAAGATGATTGAACAACGTATTCATAATAATGAAACGCATAGAGTAAGTTAATCATTCGATATATAAATTGTTCTATTTTATATAAAATGTAATGATGATTTTATATGCCACGTTACTGGTTGCTATGATAATATTTTCAAATTGTAATCTTCTATATATTGACAGGTTTCAGTTATATTGTATCATATATTCCCTTGATCAAAGGAAACCTTTTTTGAGATGTGAAATAAAGTGTCAATTTGTGTAATCATTTTGTATTACACATAAATGTATTAATTTATATGATATCAAATGTTTAATAGTTATGATCTTGTATGGAGTGTACACTATGTGAATACTGTTTACTGATGGAGTAAATCTATAATTATGTTCCATAATGATCTAAGTATAGATTACACTGCAAGAGAAAATATGGGAGAGATATCATTGTGTAATTTATTACATGGAACATATGTAAATTATTATTAATAAGGTAAATAGAACAGTCAAAATAGTTACTTACTTACTTGCTTACTTACGTCTGTTAACACTCGTGAAGAAGAATAGGTCGCTCCCCAGCACTCTCTATTCAACTCTATCTTGGGCAATCCTTTCCAGTTGCTATTCATTCTTTTCGTATCTGCTGCCAATTCCTTATGTAGTGTGTTCTTTGGCCTTCTTTTCTGTTTCCCTTCAGGATTCAAAGTTAGCGCTTGCCTCGTGATGTAGCTTGATAATTTCCATAATGTATGTTCTATCCACTTCCAACATCTTTCCCTGATTTCCACCTCAGTTGAAAGCTGGTTTGTTCACACCCACAGTAGGCTTTTGCTGATGGTATCTGGCCAACGATCCTAGATATTTAAAACTTCACTAAACCGTTGTTTAATTGAAATTCTAAATCAGCATAAGTAAGACAACCACTGAAAACCTGGAAACATGTAACAGCTGTTTCAATACATACTATTGATTAAGAAGAACGTTTGTAAATGTTATTAGCGGATAAAAGATTTCGAAAAAATTATCAATGAGCAATATTTCCATGGTGGTCTACCTTCAATTAGCTCATGATCTCAGCTATTGTAATTAATAAAACCAGAGATACTAATCAACATATGCTCACTAGTGACTGGCTTCAAGATGTATATCCTGGAGTTCTAGAGAGAAGCAGTGACCAGTGGAGTTCAACCGGGTCAGTTACGAGATAGCAACTCACTGATGAAAATGATGAATGTGTCGCTCAATTTCGCGGATTAGTTGAAGTTAGACGTTATCACCGTTGATTGCAAGCTCAGTGGTCTAATGGTCAAGTGCACGCGCACGAGACTAATAGGTCCTTGGTTCGAATCCCGCGAAGAGGGGTCATGGATGCACACTGCTGAGGATTCCCACAATAGGATGAAATGTCTGTCTATTGCTTTCAGGTTTTCCATGGTGGTCCAACATCAATTGACTCATGATCTCAACCATTGAAATATAACATAATCACTAGAAAATATCTGGTAAACTAAAACCACTTGATGCTTACATAATTTCACGCTGAAGATAGTAGTTCTTACATTTGATGTTAAAATCACTTATCCGAAGTTTCATTAAAGCAGATATACTTTCAAAATTCTAGTATCAAATGATTAGCTTTCAAAAGATCTTCAAATGCTCAATAAAAAATATTTATTTGTATATACAGATATAGACTTTCTTGAAATGATAGAATTACTTCTTTATCCAGTTAATAACTAATTACAATGCATCTTGCAAACTTATTCTAATGTAAGCAAATGTTAGTGTGAAAATTTAATATTTAAATTTAAATTTTGGGGATTTGTGACGATCGTAGTATTTTAAAAGTTTTATTCACGAGTCCATCATTAAAAATGTGGAAGTACTGGACAGCCTTTTTGTCCTACTATGTGACTCCTCAGTAGTGCGCATCCACGACCCTACATGTGGGATTCGGACCCTGTTTGATCATCTGAGTGAACGCTTAACATCTAGACTGTTGTATCAGCATACAACGGTGTTAATGTCTAACTTTGATCGACCCATAGTTTTGCGACCCGTGATCACACGCGAGATCAAAGGTCTTGGATTCGAGTCTCGCGTACAGAAGGAGTCAAATACTAGGACGAAACAGCCATCCAATGTTCTCAGGTTTTTAATGGTGGTCTAGCTTAGACTAATTCATGAATTCAATTTTGATAAGTATTAAAGTTAAAATAAACATACATCTTTCTTTGGAATGAATAGCAAATTTTTCTATCGCGTAAGCACCTACCTAATAAATTCGACTTTTATTACAAATCATAGAAAAAAATATCAGTTGCTTAATGATTTGTCACTTTATTATAACTTTTACAACAAAGATTTATGTTCTTTAGATGTTTTCAAAATTAAAATATTTCAAGTCATAATCACTGTGGGTGTGCTATAAGTAATATATGTATTCTTATCATGTTGTAACCGAATTGAATCTACTGTCTGTGAATAAATATAGAAACAGTGAGGGGTTTTGTGGATATTATAGTCATTTTTAATAGTTGAATTCATGAGTCAATTGAAGCTAGACTACAATGGAAAACATGAAAGCAATGGATGGCCGTTTCATCCTACTTTGGGAGTCCACAGCAGTGCACATTCATAAAGACATTTGTCAAAAGTTATTGGATATAACATAATGGTTTGTTAATAAATTATAAATAGGGTAATTGTGAATTCTGAGTAACCATCATGATTAAGCTGAAGCGGCTTTATGGAGATTTATTTAATTTGTAAGTTGCATACCTCATAGATGGATCTCAGTTACGTGGCTACTGAAAATCAAAGAGCAAATGTCGTTTTTATTTGTATGACAACCGTTGTTTGAAATCAGAACTGTACCAATCTTTACCAACTCAGTGAACCTGACAGTTCATCTTCCACCAAAATAATTAAATGTCCTGGAGTTAGTCCTTCGTTGAGCGATGTGTGCTCACTGCCAACCCACTCCAAATTAAGGTCAAACAGCTACCTAGTGCCCTCCAGTTTTCAGTGATATCTCATGTTAGTTCAATATGTGACACATGCAGCTTACAACTAACTATGCTTATAAAGTCAGTCTGAGAGTACATTTTGGAAGAAAAATCATAAAATAAGTGATTTTCGACCAAGATATTTTTTAATTATGTATGGATATATATACATAAGACATTATATTTATCTAATAATAAAATATAATCATCAATATAGGGTTGCGTGATTATTAAGTTTTTAATCGAGATCATGAACTGACTGATGTTAGACCACCAATGAAAATCTGGAAGCACTGGAAACTAGCTCACTAGTGACTAACTTTGTGATGGAATTCTCAGAATTATAGTGAGAAGCCGTAACCAGTGGAGCTAATCCGTGTAGAGTACAGACATTTATATACCTCAGTACAATGAAAAATAGTCACATAGTTTCGTGGATTGTGGAGGTTTGACATTAACAGCATTGGGTGCCAGCTCAGTTGTCTAGAGGCTAAGCGTTCGCGTGCGAGACCGAAGGTCTTGGGTTCAGATCTTGCAAGGTGGGATCGTAGATGCACACTGCTGAAGGGTCCCACAATAGAACGAAACAACCGTCCATTGCTTCCAGGTTTTCTATGATGGTCTAACTTTAATCGATTCATGATCTTAACTATTGAAAATATAATCGTCAATGATTATTATTTTATTATAGATTAGGTGGTTATGGATAATTTCTTTTGTTAATAAATAAGCAGTACGTAATAAAATAGAAACAATAATAATAAATAGAATAAATTAGTTCGTAAATAAACTAAATGTCAATTTTCTTTTATTTATAAATCATGTGGATAGGTGTTAACATTAACGTTTGATTTACATGTGATCACTTCAAGCTTACATTCGATGCAAATGAATCTATCTAGATGTTCGAATATATATATATACTCAGCATGTTCCATATGAAAACAGTATACATTAGTGTAAATAGTTTCTAGGAAACGAATAGTAAAAAGGAGGATTATGAATGAGTTTTCTTTGCATAGACGTTAGTTACTCTTAAATTTTAAGTTGTCATTCATTATTATTATTATCCAGTTAGTTTGATTTAAGGTAATAAATAATAATAATTACTATTGTTTAAGTGATTACTACAATCAGAAGGTATCAAGTTTATGATAATGAAGTTAAGAAATAAGTTGACTTTCTAATCAGACGCACTTGGAACATTGACTGATCTTAAGTTCATTGATTAATTAGTGAATCTTGGTTGATTAAAGTGGTTGGAACAAACTCAGTTACAATTCAAGCACTCAATAAATGATGATTACTGGTGTGATAGTAGATTGAAAGGAAATTAGAGATGACTAAATCAAGAATCAACATTAGTTCATAAAATCATTGATTGGTTTATTGGGACATTGAAGTAATGGAATGTTAACAGATTGTCATTTGCTAGATTATTGTGATCATTGGTTTTAGATGTTAAATTCTGTGGCTTATAGTCGGTCATTGTGAGGAAGATGAATTCACAATTCTCTGTTATAGACCAATACTTTCCGTCTCATGAACTTATCCTTTCTTTTTCAAATCATATTATCTATACCCATTCTTTTCCACTTCTACAGATTCATATCATTTTTTACCTTCTTTTCTTATTTTTCTTTTTGTTTTGTAAAAGAAACATGTTGAAATGCATCGTGCTGAGAATGCTATATTGTACCAAACAGTGACTAAAGTCATTAATAGCAATATTGATAATAATGATATATTTACAACTTCTACTGTTCTGGTATTGATCTTCATAATTTTATTTCTGTGAACTTATGTGATATGATAACTTGAATTGAAGCACAAATGTGCCAGGTTCTAGGTTCCTTTTGATATACTGCCTGAGGCATCCAAATATACATACGTTTACTACGAGATAATATACTTGGAAGAAAACATGTCATCAATCAAAGAAAGGTAAACTTACTTCCCATCAAAAAATCACACGAATGCACATGACGTATACTGAATATAAGAAATATAATAAATCTTAAAATACTAACATGAAACACTCATTCATTAAAACAC